CTGCACTCCAGTCTGGGCGACAGAGTGAGACTCCAACTCAAAAAAAAAAAAGAAAGGGCACCCTTACTTGCAGCCTTCAGACCGCATGACTGGCTAAAACCATCTGTGTGTGTGTGTGTGTGTGTGTGTGTGTGTGTTACATTAGAGGCAGGCCTCTTAACCTCTTTGGGCCTCAGTTTCCTCATTGTAAAATGCAATGATTGAGTTAAATGAATTTCAAGGTGTCTTATGCTCTGATTCTTTGCAAAGCTTCAGTGCCTCTGTCACTATTTTGTGTTTCAGATTCTTTTCTCTGGTATGGTATATGCCAGAAGCAGAGAGAGGTTAGAGTCTTATCATCTATTTCTATTTTTACTGCAGCAGCCACAAAACTCTTATCCTTTCTTTCTTTAAAGTCTTCCAGTCTGATTAGTACCTCAGCTGAGTCCTTTTGTTTTGATGGCAATTATCTGTTCTGTGGCATCAGTTACTAATTTACTTTTGATGGCAGCTCAGAGTTACCAATTCTTGGGTTATTAGCAAAATTGTATCTAGAAAGTCTAACATATTTCCAAAGTGAACCACCTTACAGTAACACTTAGAAATTTTCTCAAGGCTGTTAGCAGAGGAATGACCTGGGCTCAGCATAACCCCCAAGAGAGAAGTTCCCAATATTAAACCAAATTATATCAGAATAACAAGTCTTTATAAAGTCTTATACTGGTTCTGCTTACTGCTGTTCATGCCCTCATGTTGATGCGTTCATTAAGCTGTGTCTGTTGGTCTGGTCTATTTGCACAGCTCATTTTCAGTATATACATTTGGGTGTTGGCATGGCTGGTAGATATTGTCTCCAACAGAGGAGTATAAGCTGATGGAGGGGAACCTTTAGTTGAAGACTTACATAACCTAAAGTGGATAATAAATAAATTCCTTAAATTCAGCCTCTCAGACTTAGGTTGTCCACGAAAGGTCAATGGGAACAGTTCAGATGCGGCTCTTTTTCTTTCCCTTTCTTTTTAGGCAGGCAGCTCCCTCCCTTCATCAAGCCCCAGAACTGCTGCCTGGGGTAATTCTGTCGTGGGCCAACAGGGGAGGTGATCTCTGGAGTTTCTGTCCACAGGGAAAGCCCGCTGTTCCATTGAGACCAAGGAAGGTAGTTCCCTCAGAGAATGCAGATCTGCTTCAATTTGAGATAACTGACTGCCCCTGACAGCAGTCCTAAGCTCCCTCTTTGGACTCTTGCAAAAGGCAAGGTGTTTTCTTTGCTCTTTGGCTACTGCTTACTCTCATTTCATGTTGTCTCCCCAGACATTAAGTCTCATATCTTTAGCACATAAAGTCTATCTGCTCATATGCACCAAACTTATGCCCACATTTACAGAATGCTCTTGTTTTCATATCTCTTTGGGCTATTCCCC